AAAAGAACAATTTAGGTTAAACAGAGACCCTATGAGATCTCTGAAAATAAATAACAGATCCAATCATGAAGGTTTACATAAGAGCCTATTTTTGTAATCCTTGATAACACAATTTTTACACTGTTTAGTGGTCCTGGTCTAGTCCCATTTCAGCCCACTTCTCTAGTGTGTTTCTATGCTTCTTTTGAGCATGTGCAAAATGCAAAAATATATAGTCTCTCTCCCCATTTAGGTAATAAACTGTTTACAAGCCAGGATTACCCCCAACACTGCCTTTTAAAATCTTACAGGCATATTTGCTGTATCTCAGAGCTTAAATGAAGAAGAAATATGAAGACAGCTAAAGCATTCACAAATTAAGATGGTAAATTGTGGGTGGGACACAGTCCTGCAGGAGACAGAAGAGGCTAAGGGATAAAGAAGGGCACCCGAAGCTTCCCATAACACTCAGTGTCAGCAACAAGGCCAGTCTGAGGTAATATTTCCACTCCCCTGCTAGCAGCAGCCTTGAGCCTGGGTACAAAAAGCACCCACACGCCCCAGACAGAACACCAGTACTATGTGACCCTTCACAAAGCTCCTACTTGTGGAAAAGATGTCCACAGGGCAGTTTCCTTGCAGCCTGCATGGAGTCCCAGCAGATTGCACAGTCGTCATTATTGACAGCCAGCTCCTCTGGAGTTGCAACTGCAAACCTACGAAAAACAAAACAAGCATGGCAGGAATCTCTGTCAATTCTCCACACTACTCTGAATACCACTTTGCAGACTTCACCTTTATAACAGCACAGTTACAGAGAAATCCTGTTCAGTAAAATATTTTTGACAATCAAAAACTTCATGCCTGCCTTCTCTTCATCACCCATTAAAAAACAAGTAAGAAGGGCTGGCCCGTGGCTCACTTGGGAGAGTGCGGTGCTGATAACACCAAGGCCACAGGTTCGGATCCCTATATAGGGATGACCGGTTGGCTCACTTCAGAGAGCGTGGTACTGACAACACCAAGTCAAGGGTTAAGAACCCCTTACTGGTCATCTTTTTTTTTTTTNTTTTTTTTTTTTCCTTTTTGTCTTTTTTCATGACCGGTAACGGGATCGCAACCCTCGGCGCCGCGCCCGAACCGCGCTCAACCAGCGAGCGGACCGGTCTCTATATGGGATCTGAACCCTCGGCAGGAGCGCCGCCACGCTCCCAAGCACCACACTCCACCGAGTACGCCACCGGGCCAGCCCATACTGGTCATCTTTAAAAAAAAAAAAAAAAGTAAGAAACTTACACACAGAAATTAACTTTGTCTTAATAACAGCTCTTGTTAGTGATGACTTCAGAGAACATTTCTGGGCAAATCTGAGGAATAAGACCCCCAGAAACCCAAACTGTCCCCTGGGCACAAAGAGGATACCCATTAATCTTGCACCTTCTGTGTGGTTTAGCGTCAGGTTGGCAAGTGAGTGCCTCCTTCAATGACACTGAGTGTGTGAGTGTGTGTGTGTGTGTGTGTGTGTGAGAGTGTGTGTATGTGTAAACATGCATGTGTAAAGAATAACCGAGACCCATCTTTACAAAATAAAGAGGGTAGAAGCCCAAGGAAGTTTCTATTTAATAATAATAATGAAAGGTCAAGAGTTTGGATCCCTGTACTGGTCAGCTGCCCAAATAAACAAACAAACAAATAAATAATGATGATATAATGACATAATAATAAGAACCTAATACTTACTGCTTAACTAGGTGCCTGGTACCATTCTAAGTACACGTATTATCTCACAAAATTCTCCCAACGGTTCCAGGGAGAAGGTCCTATTATCATCTCTATTTTAGAGATGGAGTAATTAGGATACATGGAGTTAAGTAAATTGCCCAAAATCACACAGTAACCAAGTGGGGATTCATGCTCAGGCAGTCTGACTCCAGAGCAGATACTCTCTACCATTCTGTTAATAGCTTACAAACACGAGTTCTGATACAGTCTGGGATCAGTTATAATCAAAGAGCTAAAATGAGTAAAACTTGAACAACACCGACTTTCGCTTACTCACCTGGCTTCCATGTTCCCAACCACTCGCAGATAGTTCTTGTGCCGCCGGATTCGACGCTGCACCTCATGAAACAGGTAGCGCAGCTGCATGAAGATGACCAGGCTGGCCATGGATAACCAGATGTTGCCAAATAACTTACACAGAGAGAGAGAGAATAAAAAACACAATTAGAGTGAAGGTGAACTTGCTAGTCGTGAAGGTGCGGTGTGTAACAGAAGTCCTTAATTGGTCAAGGTGAACTAAAACAATCTTTCAGAAAGTAAATACATATATTTATCTCATTATCCTAAACAACGTACATGCTCTTCAGCGTAGTTGTTCCATCACCAGCAATCTTTCCTGAGAAACTAATCAGAAATTTAAAAGCTTTATGCTAAAATATGCGCATCCATGCAATTATAAAAAATATGGAAATGAACAAAATGCCCAGTAGAAGAACAGCTAGTAAAAAACTCATATAATGTAATATATAGTCATTAGTTATATTTACTATAATATATAATTACATATTATTATATTTTACATATGATAGTTTTGAAGGTTAATTACATAGGAAAATAATATTTGTTAAGTAAAAAATTCAGAATATAGATACCTTGAAACTAATACGTGACAAAAAAAAATTATGTAAAAATGTGAAATAGCAAATGACTAAATATAACCTAAATAACCCATTATGGGGTTTGGTTAATTAACTCATGGTACATCTATATGATGAAATTTTTATCCTGAAGATATTAAAATGGTCCAGAAGAATTGTTGCTAACATAGAAAAATGTTCATAAGGGGCCGGCCCGGTGGCGCACTGGATAAGTGCGCCGCTTGGGAAGCGCGGCGGCGCTCCCGTCCGAGGGTTCGGATCCCACATACGGACCGGTTCCCACTCACTGGCTGAGCGAGGCGCGGGAGCAACACCGAGGGTTGCAATCCCGTTGCCGGTCCCCGGTCCGGTACGGGGGCAACACTGAGGGTTGCGATCCGTTGCCGGACACGGAAAAAAGACAAAAGACAAAAAAAAAAAAAAAGAAAAATGTTCATAATACATTAGTTTAAAAAAAACCTAAACTATGTGTCCAAGATATGATCTCAATTTATGAATGTATGTATTTGAACATATGAATAAGTAGTTAAGTACAATAAAATGTTAATAGTTATCTCTGGGAATTTGTTTTTCCCCCTTTTTTAGGAGAGGGGGCTCTTTTTTTTTAAAACAAAAGAATTACATGCATTTTTATTCAAAGTATGTTTTCAAAGTTGCTTTCAAAAAGTAGACAGAAATGTGCTATGCCTAATCCAATAATTTTTAAATGACTTTTATATAATTTTTAAATAAATTGCCCACCTACTATGTTGATTCTCATCATTATTAGGTCACTTACGTGCTAACCAATGAAGCAGACTTACAGAACTGTATGTTTTGGCACACCAAAGTAAAATGTAAACAATGAGGGTAGTAGGAATTAAGTATAAGGACTTTGTTTTTAATTACAGAGAAGGAAAATGTATGAATCCGTGAAGTAGTTAACACTGCAGGAATTCCCATTACCACCTACAAAGTAACTGCTAAATATTAGAAGCCATGGAAGCTATGAGGAGAGGTATCCCCTTAATTTCTAACAAGTTCCCAATCAGTGGTTCAACCTTAACTTATTTTGAAACTCAAAAAACTATCCATGTGGTCAGCAGAGTTAACTAAGTCCCCTAGGACAGTAAAGACCTCCTGAGCTGGACAGCAGCCAATGCAGTTCCATGACATTGCTTTACACCCATTGGCAAAATGAGGGAGCCACTGCAGGCACAGCTGCATTCATTTCCACAGTCTTCTAAGTGGTCCGTCCACAACCTTATTCGAAATGTTTCACTTGTCAATGTACAAACCAGGGTTCCTGTAGTGGATTGAATTCTGTCCCCCCAAACTCCCCAAAGCTTGAACCATGTTCCCCAAGTTTTATGTATTAGAAACTTGGCCCCCACTGTGACTGTTAAGAGGGTGTCAAATCCTATTATGGTAATTAGAAGGCAGAGCCTTGAAGAGATGATTGGATTGTAGGACCCTGTAGTAGTGAGTGGATTAAAAATGGTGGTCGGGGTGTGGTTCTAAGGGCTTTAAAAGAAGAGCACAGTCTGTCTTTCTTGCTCTCTCTGCTCTTTCTTTTTTTTTTTCTTTTTTTTTTTCCCTTTTGTCTTTTTTACTGACCGGTAACGGATCGCAACCCTCGGTGTCGCGTCTGTACCAGGGACCGGCAACGGGATCGCAACCCTCGGTGTTGCGCCCGCACCACGCTCAGCNCGGCGGGAGCGCCACCGCGCTCCCAAGCGGCGCACTCTCCAGTGCGCCACCAGGCCAGCCCACTCTCTCTGCTCTTTCTGCTTCCACCATCTTGTGAGTGAGACCTTTGGGTCACTGTCACCACCACCAGATGGACTTTGGACTTCCCAGCCTTAGGAATTGTAAGCAATAAATTTCGTTTTTCTTTATAATTACCCAGTTCTGTGTACTTTGTTATAAGCAACACAAAATGGACTAATACAGTTCCTGATTCTGAAAGCTTTACCCTCTGTTAGAGCTCCTTTAGAGGGCACTTACCAACATGTGTATGTGGTGCATGAGGTCCAGGGACAAGAGAGTGAGCTCCATGACAAAGTCTGTGTAATAGACATATGTTCCCTTTCCTTCCCAAGTCCCTTCATGGTTGAGGTCCCAGAGGTGAATTACGTATCTGCAATACAGATGTAGAAAAAAGAGAAAAACACCT